TTTAGCTGTTTCCAAGGAGATGTTCAGCATGATATTGATAATTGCATTAATCCTCACTTTACACAATCTGTGGAAGCAGCGGCTTCTTTCCAGTGTTTACTGCTTCATAGGTCACCGAGTTGTGATTGGTCAGCCAAAAAAATGAAATGCCTTCCTGAGAATAATGGCCATAGAAATATGTTATGGAGCCCTTCTGCCAGTTCAACTCTTGGTGCTAGTTATAAAGACTCGGTGAGCTTTTCTTGGGCTGGCTGCTCAGGTTGGCCCTTAATCAATAATTCCTTCTGGGCGTGCCTTGCCCATTGGGGTCTTAATGTTCTAAATTTACTAAAGAATGATTAAACTCTTAACAGACATTCACTCACACACACTTTACAAGAGCCTGACCTGGTAGGCTGAGTGATTCATCAGTAGTCAGAACATTCCTGATGAGTTGGCACTTGAGAACAGATTTAGATCAAAAAGTAGCTGCAAATTAAAGTAGAGGAGATAGAAATTTCTTAAAAGATGGACATTAAACTCCGTTAACTTGAATTGCCCTTCTCTAAAGAATTTGTGTTTTTGAAATAACTTAAAAAATATATTTAAAAAGGAAGACCTATGTAATACTTTCAACAATAAAAATTAAAAGAAAAATCTTATATAATAAAGATGTAATATGCAAATTAACCCTCACACCATCACAAGATGGCTGCCTTCGATCAGGCCGGCAGGGGGTTAGTGAGGGACGACCTAACAACTGAACAGCAGACTGCATGGGGCAACCAGGCCGGCAGGGGGGGCAGTTGGGGGCCACCAGGCCAGCAGGAGGGGCAGTTGGGGGCTACCAGGCAGGCAGGCATCTGAGCAATTAGGAGCCAGTCAGACATCCCCAAGGGGTCCCAGATTGGAGCGGGTGCAGGCTGGGCTGAGGGGACACCCACCACCACCACCCCCCCATGCATGAATTTCATGCCCCGGGCCTCTAGTAAATAAATAATCTATTTAAGACCTGTGGTGCATTTATTCATGAGAACGTATCTTCTCTTTTAACTTGTTACCTTGCATTGATATATTTTCTAATGTGAAACCAGCTTTTCATTTCACTGTTAGAACTTTATTGGACAATGATATATGGTGTGTGTATTTGTGTGTTAAAATTAATGGACTGAATTTGCTAATAATTATAGGGCTTTATTTTTACCTTAATTGAAATTATTTCATAATTTTAAAATTAAATTTGTTGTGGTAACATTGGTTAATAATATTATATAAACTAGAGGCCCAGTGCACAAAATTCGTGTAGGAGGGTGGGGGTAGGAGCAGGTGTGTCCCTCAGCCCAGCCTGCACCCTCTCCAATCTGGGATCCCTCTCACAATCCAGGACTGTTGGCCCCCAACTGCTCACCTGCCTGCCTGCCTGATCATCCCCTAACCCTCCCCTGCCAGCCTGATTGCTCCTAACTGCCCTCCCTTGCCGGCCTGGTCACCTGTAACTGCCCTCCCTTGCCAGCCTGGCTGCCCCTAGCTGCCCTCCCCTGTAGGCCTGGTCCCCCCCAACTGCCCTCCCTTGCCAGCCTGGTCATCCCTAACTGCCCACCCCAGCTGGTCTGGTCACCCCCAACTGCCCTTCCTTGCAGGGCTGGCCCCCCCCCAACTGCCCTCCCCTGCAGGCCATCTTGTGTCCACATGGGGGCGGTCATCTTGTGTATTGGAGTGATGGTCAATTTGCATATTACTCTTTTATTAGATAGGATGTTATATTTCAGATGTACAACATTTAATTCAACATCTGTATACTCTTGCATGCTTACCCCCAAAGTCTAGTGTCCTTCCCTTACCATACATTTTGCCCCCTTTCCTCACTTTGCCCTCCCCCACCTCTCTTCCCTTCTGGTAACTAGCATTCCGTTATCTGTAAATATGAGTTTATTTTTGTTTTGTTTGTTCATTTGTTGCTTTTTGTTTTATATCCCACATGAGTCCATCTGACTTATTTCAGTTAGCATAATACTCTAAGATGCATCCATGTTGTTGCAGATGGCAATGTTTCATCTTTTTTATGGCTCAGTAGTATTCATTATATATATGTACCACATCTTCTTTATCCAGTCATCCATTGATGGACACTTAGGTTGTTTTCATGTCTTGGCTATTGTAAGTGTTGCAGTGAACATAGTGGTACATGAATAAATGTTTTCAAATTTGGGGGATAGATCCCAGAAGCTTGCTGGGTCATATTGTAGTTCTGTTCTTGATTTTTTAAGAACCTTCATGTTGTTTTCCATAGAAGCTGCACCAGTTTACACCAGCAGTGTAAGAGGGTTTTTTCTCCACATCCTCTCCAGCACTTGTTTTTGTCTTTTTGATAATAGCCATTCTAACAGATGTGAGGTGATATCTCATTGTGGTTTTGATTTGTATTTCCCTAATAACTAATGATGAACATCTTTTCATATATCTGTTGGCCATCTGTATATCTTCCTTGGAAAAATGTCTGTTCGGGTTCTCTTAATGAAAATTTGGGGGGGGAGGGGGTTTGCCATTAAGTTGTATGAGCTTTTAAAAATATATTTTGGATATCAACCCTTATCTGATACATGATTTGCAGATATTTTCTCCCATTCAGTAGATTGCCTTTTCATTTTTGTTGACGATTTCCTGTGCTGTGCAGAAGCTTTTAAGTTTGATGTAGACCCACTTATTTATTTTGGCTTTTGTTGTGTTTGCTTTTGATGTCAGATTCAGAAAATCAACACCAAGATCTTTCGTATGTGGCTATACAGTTTTCCCAACACCATTTATTGAAGATACAGTCCTTTCTCCACTGTATAGTCATGGTTCCTTTGTCATAAATTAATTGACCATGTATGCTTGGGTTTATTTCTGGTCTCTGCTCTGTTCCATTGACCTATGTGTGTGTTTTTATGCCGGTTCCATACTGTCTTAATTGTTATAACTTTGTAAAAGAGTTTGAAATCAGATAGTGAAATGCCTCCAGCTTTGTTCTTTCTCAAGGTTGTTTTAGCTATTCAGGGTTGAAATAACTCTTAACTAGATTTATTATGGAGTTTTCTTGGCTTACGCATCCAACCCCCCTTCATATTTGGAGGAATTTTTCTGTGTTGTAATCTTGAGTGACAGTACTCAGTGTCCCTCACTCCATTGTGTGACAGCCAAGGCATGTGACATACACTTGGCTCATTTGATGCCGCTGATCCAGACTTTGAATCTGGGTGGAGCAAAGAAAGAGGAATGGTTAGGATTCATTTGCTGCTATTACAAGCCTGTCTTGTCCAGACTCTTCAGCTAAAGGACACTTAGTGTCTTTTTACTTCTTGACTTAACTGAGCTGCCTTGATTCCTCTCTGTTTTCTACGCTTATATTTGAGTCCCATCACCACCCCCCATTTTATTTTTTTTCTACTTCCTTAGAATAGCCCTTCAGATATATTATATCTAAAAATGAATTATTGTATCTGCTGTGCATCTGGCACATAGTAGAGACCATAAATATTAAATTCAGTGTATACCTACCGTTTAGTCTCTTTATTGAGGTTCATCAAGTGCTCTATTTCATCCGGAGTATAATAACAACAAGGCATTCGGGAAGCACCCAGCAGCATATTTACAGATCTCCAGAGACATAACAGTTTCACTTTGGTTTCTAATCTTAAGAGTATCAGTTATTTAGGCTCCAGGCTTCTCTTGTAAGTGAAATGTCCTGCTAACTGTGTTTCTGCCTTTGGAATTTTTATTTAGTCAGAAGACTCAAGAATGAAGGAGATTTTGTTTTAAAAAAACAAACAACAAAAAAGACCACACTGTCAGAAGGCAGCAAGTGGGGGGCTACTTCTGCTGGTTCTGCTTGTGTTCCCCGATGATCGGGGCTGGAAACATAGAGACTCAACCTGTGTAGTCTTTGCTCTGCCGAGTAACATTCACTTGGCCTTTGAGTTTGATGGGTGCCTGCCATCCGTGTGAATTTCTGAGCTGTTAGAAGAAGCTAAGAAAAGGGAGATTTGTTTATCTGGGTCTCTTCAAATTTCCTCCTGTTAGCCTGCTGGCAGCATACTGCCCTGACCCTGCAGGGGAGGCATGCCCCCCACAATGCACTCTGCCATCATACCTGTGTCTCCTTCATGACACAAACCACAGTTGTAGCTAAGTAAGTATTAAATTACTTATTTTACAGAAAAATCATAGCTCATATTTAGTGAACACTTATTTGCTAGGCATTGTATTGGGAGCATTATGTGCATTATCACATTAGTCCATAAAAGTGTTAAAGCCTCATTTCTTAGGTGAAGAAAGTAAGGCTCAGAAAGATCCGGAAGTCGTCCAAGATCATGCGATTAATAAACACCAGATCCGGATTTTGAATTTACAGTGGTGTGTATACCAGTGGATGTGTTGCTTAGTTTCAGTATGCATAAATAGAAATTAAATGATACCTGAATTACCATTCTGTGCAAAAGATAGGAGCGTAAGAAACCTACGGTTTGCATTTTAAACACAATCAAGAATGTGTTGGTGATTAGCCAGGTAGTTGTGTTTTTTTCTATATCTGTTGAAGATTTAGATAGAACTGACCCAATTCTCAAAAGTTAATTGCTCGCCATGCCGGCACGGCTCCGTGGTTGAGCATTGACCTTTGAACCAGGTCACAGGTTCGATTCCCGGTCCGGGCACATGCCCACGTTGCAGGCTTGATCCCCAGCGTGGGGCATGTAGAAGGCAGCTGATTGATGATTCTCTCTCATCATTGATGTTTCTATCTCCCTCCACCTCTCCTTTCCTCACTGAAATATAAATATATATATATATATATATATATATATACACACACACACACACACACACACACACATACACACACAAACACACACATACATACACACACTCTTTTTTAAAAGTCAAATTGCTGCCTATTAAATAGGCTGATATGTAAAGAAAGCTGACCTTTTTGTTCACTTACAATAATATTGTGACAAATTCTGTCAATCTCTGGTCTCTTTTAGAAAAGAAGAGAAGAGAGCACTAGACTGAAGGAGGAGGGAAATGAGCAATTTAAGAAAGGAGGTAAGAGAACGGTTTCAGCACTGATGTCTTCTCACTCTTCTTTTTCTTTCGTAGAGTCTGGAGAAAGCCCCAAAGAACATTTGGAAACAACTAGCAAATAAACTGCTTTCAATACTTTCTGCCTTCCAGCATTTACAATATTGTTTTTTACCAGGTTCAAATTGTTCTCAGCTGACAGTGACCAGTTACCATGTGTCTCTTGACACAGGCATAGTTCTTCTTTTCTATAATCCAATCTCTATAAATCCAGAAATTGGGAGGAGAACTCTTCAGCTGTGGCTTTGGAGATCTTTAACCTGGAATGTTAAGAGACTCTCTGCTGCACTGCTGCAAAACCAGGGCCCCATTCCTCACTTTGAATAGCCTATAAAAACCAGCCGCGGGCTCTGGCAGGGCCCAGGGAGGAATCCTGCTTGTACTTGGGCTGCGCTTTCATGTGCCTTTTTCTTTGGATGCTGTAAGCAGAGAGGTGCTCTTCATGTCCTTCTGGGTTTCCTCCATAGGCTTAGGAATAAGTCGGGCTCATTCCGATACTTTGGGCAACTGTTTGATCTTATGATAGCCTTTGCCACATCGTAAAGGGTAGATGCTTTAAAAATCTAGGAATAGTAACATCTCTCCCTAGTTATTTTTAGGTTTAAAAATTTGTTTCTTACATCCTGGTTTAATCAGTCATCACTTCTGTTGTTCTAAGAGAACTAATGGTTCTGATTTTGAAAACTTATCTCTTTGTATTTTAGTATTAAGTATTTCTAACCTGAGAAAGGTGTGAATAGACAATTTTCCTTTAGGACCCTGATTATTCTGCATGGCAATGCATATATAAATTTATTACCACTTTCTCTTTTAAGGTCTTTAGTCAACAGGCCATTAATCCCAGACTTCAGTCTCTTTAATCTGTCCAGTTCCCAGACCCCTCTCAAAGCTCCTTACTAAATTGATAAGCCATATGGAAGCTGAACATTTGGAGTATTCTGTTGGAGACCTTTGTCCTGTGACTGGAAGCCTATGCACTCCGAGATCCTATGGAAGACAGTCTATCAGGAATAAAGTAATAACCTCTCACCTTTTACCTTATCCTCAGATTACATAGAAGCTGAACGTTCTTACAGTCAAGCCCTTCAAATGTGCCCATCCTGCTTCCAGAAAGACAGGTCTATTCTGTTTTCAAATAGAGCTGCTGCAAGGATGAAACAGGTATGTGACATTGTTTGGAAAGTGGCTACAGTGTTTGGACAGGTTCAAGCCTCAGACTAATGAGAGGGCACAGTCCTCTCATGGCCACGTGCAAGTCCCAGCTTGGAGGGCAAAGCCCTCCCAGCACAATTATAGCCAACAGCTATAGTTGTAGGCTTGAACCTATGGTCCGCACACGTGGCCCCACGTGTCTGAGTGATGTGGACTTGATAGAGTTCAGGTGCATGTAATTGAGTAGAATCGAAACACACGAGAATGTTGTAAACATCTTGACCACGCCCTTACTTTGTCTCGTGGCATTTGGCTATAAATTAAAGGCATGGCTTGCAGTCTGTGGCGCTCTCGCTAGCTCTCCATCAGAGAGGACAGTGTCCCACCCAAACCCAGCTTTCTTCTCTAGTCTGTCTTTTCTCAATCCTTTAGCGCCCCCTCTCAGGGTCACCGAACCTGGCTGAGCTGGCGTGGCACATAAGGCGCCCAACATGGGGCTGAGTATGCCATGGCCGTGCCGGCCCGGCACAACATTGACCTTTTCTTTTTTTAAGAAGCACACGGACTTGCAGTGTATTTGTAGGATAGCTTCTCTCCAAAAACTCACATAGGGCCTTAACGTTTGTATCTCCCTTTTCCTGCTCATATATTTCCCTGATATAAAGGGCACAAGAAAGATAGAAACATATTTTTAAAGCTTGAGTCAGATTACTGTTAACATTCCTCATTAAAGCGGCTGAGGGAACACTTTACAGAAAGAAGACTGTCAAAGTTTCCACCAAACTAGGGAAGGTTAATGAAGCAAAGACCTAGTGGCGCATGGCTTGCAATAGCTACAGCGGTTGTTTTAGGCTCTGGGATTCTAGATAAAGACTCGAGGGAAGCACTGGTTAAAACTTGGGATTTGTAGATGCTTCTTCCAGAGGGTCTGATTTTCCTGTTGAAAGTATGACGTGGAGAGAAATGTCCACCAGTTGTAATGAGTGGTGCCCTTAACAGCAAGATAGGAGTCAGGGAAAGTTCAGGAACATTTTGCATTTCTAAAGGCTCGAGAACCTAGTGTAGCAGGGTGAATGTAGAATAGAAAAGAGTGTAGTTGTATTTCTTTTGTACCATGTTGGTATTAAAAGTTAGATTTGTCTGATTTCCTATTTAGTTAACATAGTAGATTTTGCTGGATTGAAATGATAGGAGTCTTTAAAAAGCACTACACTTGTTTGGCTACTTGTGTCCAAAGTTCAAAGAGTGGGTTATGTAACATACCTGTACGCAACCACGAAGCAGGCCCTAGCTTGGGCAGAGTGGTCTTTTTATTTGTTTAGATCAGGTATCCACGTCACTTTCTCATTGACGTTGCCTGAAATTCTCTAGTGCTGCTACCGAAGTCTCTTTGGATAACCAGGTTTAAAAAAGGGGGGTGGGGGGAGGGAAATCCAGGATGGTTTAGTTGTGCAGAAAGATGTTGTTTTTTTAAAACCAGAACTTGGTTTGTTTTATTATTGGATGCCGGGAGCCGGTCCATCCTTGCTGTTTCAAGGGACCTGGCATATATGGCATACTGTTCTTAATATGTTTGCTCACCTTCTTGGCACTATGTGTTTTAACCAAGGTCTCTGAGAAAGGTTGTTTCCCCAGGTAGGGATTTTCCCCTGAAGTTAGGGAGGGAATAAAACCTCTTAACTAAGTGCCAGGCGGGTAGTTAATCACTTTAACTACGAACAATCATGCTTAAGCTACATAATCTTATCTCCCTGGAATGGAGATAAGAAACGCCCTAACCTTTGTAATAGAGATTGATAGGATTGAATCAACTGGTATAAATACAGATGTAATAAGACAGCAAGAGTCAGAAATTAGAATACAGAGCTTAGAACACAGAACTAAGAATACAGAACCTACACAGAACTAGAGACAGAAGAACTTCGCTGGAGAGAACATGGCAAAAGATCCTGGACTGAACCTGACTACAGAAATTGGCAAGAGAACCTGACTAGAACCTGGATACAGAACCTGGCTGGAGAACCTGGAGAACCTGGCTGGAGAACCTAGCAAGACAACATGGACACAGAACCTGTCTGGAGATCCTAACCAGAACTTCGCTGGAGATCCAGACCAGAATTTGGCTGGAGATCCTGGCTAGAGATCCTGGCTAGGCTGCTGATGAACTGAATGCTGCCTCCGTGCCCTTCCTTCTTCGCCGACTCCCTCCTCACCTATGGGGAACCCCTGGACCTGCTGGGGCTGGACCCCAGCAATTGGATTCAGTCTCCAAAGTGAAGTAGTTTGGGGGTGATGCATGTGGCATTAGAGAATAATTCCAGAGTATATAAACAGACATATTAGGGGAAATAAAATAATTAAGTGTATTTAAACATTACTCATTAATATATCCAGCATCAGTCAGAACTCACACCTAACTTGGAAAACTCTCCTATTTTGCTTTTGCTTGTTGGAGACATCTTGTCCCATTCTCAGACTGGAAGTTGTCACTGCTAAATGGAATCGAGGGCACCTTCAGTGTCAAAAGAAATGCACCATGCCCATCTGGCTCCTGGGACTGGGATTCTTTGTTTCCACAGTTGCCAAGTTATTGGTATTGCTAGGCTCGGGTAGTATAAGCACCTGGTTCTGAGTTAGGGCAATGTGTGGTCTTTGTCACATGCGAGGAGAACGCAGGAGAGAGTTGCTCTGTGACCATTTCCTTTACAAAAGATAGGTTTCCAGTGGGGTGGGTGGGTGATTGTTTTGTTCTTTTAAGTTGCACTCTTTGATATTTTTAAGAAGATTCAAAAATTGGTAACTTGGAAATGTCCAGGATTAATGCATTTGAACAATTAAGGACCATATTCTGAGTTTATTCACGGAGGTGATGGGTTCACTGCTTTAAGAAGAATTTCTGAAAGGCAAGTTTGCAGGCACAGCATCCCTGACTGAATGCGCCCTGCCAAGCTTTACACTTCATGTCTGGAGAGAGAAAAGGCAGACGGTTGAGGGCAGAGTGTCAGGTCTGTGCCTGCCTCCATAAGAGAGTCAGAGCCCTAAAAGAGCAGATTAAGTTTTTTAAAACTACATTCCTTATATATTATGTACTTTGACTTATATATGTATATAGACTAATAGAAGTTATAGAAGGGTGGTAAAGAAGTTCTGATTTTTTTCCACATACCCCACTTTGCAGATTTTCACTCTAAGCAGCAGGCAACACCTGGGTCCCCTGAGCTGTTAGCAGACTCAGCCTGAAGCAGAGGATTCTGCAGTAAAAGGCCACTGTTCCTGATCCGCAAAGGCGTCAACTGTTCCTAAGACGCACTGCAGCTTAATAAGGCTTACTTAGGGGCACAAAGAATACCATCACAGCAGATGTGCACATCAGTTGTAAAGAGCCACTCCTTTTCAGAACTTTAAGATATGAAATTGTGAGTCCTGGATTTATAGAAAGCTAATATATTGGGGAAATACTGACTTATACAAAGTTACACAGATTTCTTTACTACAAGACTTCTTTGAACTTTTAATATGTGAATTGCTGTGAACATTGGAAGAGATATAATGCCTTGTTTTCCAGATGACTCTGGAACCTTCTGTGTTTATTATGGGTAAAAGGCACCTGACAAAAAATTGACTGTTTTAGCCCTAGCTGGTTTGGCTCAGTGGATAGAGCTTCGGCTTGCGAACTTAGGGGTTCTGCATTCGATTCCGGTCACGGGCACATGCCCAGATTATGGGCTCGATCCCCAGTAGGGGGCATGCAGGAGGCAACTGATCAATGATTCTCTCTCATCATTGATGTTTCTATCTCTCTCTCCCTTCTCCTTTCCTCTCCAAAATCAACAAAAATATATATATTTTTAAAAATTGACCGTTTTGCCGAAACCGGTTTGGCTCAGTGGATAGAGTGTCAGCCTGCGGACTGAAAGGTCCCAGGTTCGATTCCGGTCAAGGGCATGTACCTGGGTTGCGGGCACATCCCCAGTAGGAGATGTGCAGGAGGCAGCTGATCGATGTTTCTCTCTCATCGATGTTTCTAACTCTCTATCTCTCTCCCATCCTCTCTGTAAAAAATCAATAAAATATATTTTTTTAAAAAAATTGACCGTTTTAACCTTTTAAAGCATATAGTTTAGTTCCATTAAATACATTTATAAATGTTATGCAACTATCACCATCTGGTACCAGAACTTTCTCATGACCCCAGAAGGACACCCTGCACCCATTCAGTCTTCACTCCCCATCCTGGAACTGTTTTTAATTAAATCCTAAAATTCAATTTGGTAGACATTGCTCTAAAATAGTCTACAAAATATTTAGTATTTGCTACAGTAGCTATTACAGAATTGTTGGACATGTATTTGAACTAACATTTCTGTAATATTGTAGAATACTAATTGGGGGAAATAGACATTTTAGAACTGGGGAGTTAAACAGCAGGTTGGTGTCAGAGCTGGAACAAGAGTCAGGTTCATTCGACATTGGTCTTCTGTCCGCTGTGCCATGCTTTTCGATTTAGCAGCTCAGTCAGTGAGGGGTCTCGTTTGGTAGGTTGTTGTGTATCTTTGTTTCATCAGTGGATACGTTGAGGTTTTAACTGAGACTGCATGACAAGCCACACTGTGTTATTGTAGACATACCATTTGTATACTTTCTAGAAGATCCTACTTTGGGTCAGCTAGCCAAAGAAGAGGGTTATTAATTCAGTTATCCATATTTTAGTCATTGCCCTATTTATTGATCACAAAGTTTTCTCAGTATCAGCATTTTGACGTAAAGCATTGTGCAAATCAAATAGATCCATGACAACAGTCTTTAAGATATTTAGGAAGAAGCTACTTGAATATTTTGTTAGCAGAAGACTTTCAAGTCACCATATTTGAATTTTAGTTTGGAAGTAAGTTGCATGTTTTTGTGTGCTTTCTTTGAAGAGCATTCTGCATCCCCATAAGCAATTATTAATGATCAGCTTTTTCATTGAGCCTTTGGACCATTAAGACAGAACCAGGGTGACACGTATTAATGTTATATTTCCTTTTAGGACAAGAAAGAGATGGCCATCAGTGACTGCAGCAAAGGTACAACTTTTTGGTCTTGTTACCTGTTAACATTAAGAGCCTCACCTCAGCTAGACCAGCAGAGAGAGAGGCTCTGGGTTGGGTGTGCACCTGTACCTTGCCCCCTTCCTCTGAGGCATTTAAAGAAGCAGCTTTTTGGTTTAGCCCTTCTCAGCGGTATTATGTTGTAGTCACCGTAGTGTAAGTGTGCTCTTGAATGGATAGTTGAGTCCATTTATCTTGGCTTATAAATAAATACGTGAAGAAAAATTCAGAGCTACCTTGGCAGCAGAATCTGCTGGAACAGAATTTACGTCCTATAGTGTCCAAATTACTTTACTTTGAAATTGAAACGGAAGATCTTAGCTGCTATCAGGGCATCTGGATCTGTGTGTTTGGAGGCTGAGGGAGTAAGGGGCAGTTTCTGTTGGGAATTGGTACTCTTCAGATGTAATAATTCTTCTAAATCTACTTGCCATCATTTTAATTACCCTTTCAGGTTCCACACACTGAATCAAGACTTTGCCACTTTTTATCTGAGTTCTAGCAGGGTCTTTCCATCCCACCAACTTAGAGACACCTAGACTTAGGATCACTATTGTTTTGTTTTCAAAAAATTTTTGATGGGCGTTTTTCTTACCTTTCTAACCAGCTTGGTATGGAGAACATACATAATCACTTTCCCTTGCATCTTACTACTCATGGGGTTTACTAGCTAATTATTACTCTTCGTAATTTGTATTTTTGTTTGTTTTCCTCTCTTTAGATAATAATTTCTTTGAGAAAACCATAGGGTTAGAAAGAACCTTATGCTGTCTAGTCCAACTCTCATAGTAAGCATGAGTTCTCTCTTCTGTTTTTTGTTGTTGTTTTTTTTCCTTTACATTAATTCATCATCCTCTATACTGGGTCTTTCTTTTCTTTGTATTTTGTATTTCTTTTTAGTATCTGAATTAAACTATGCTACATTAGAATGTAGCTAACTACTTCTGATCTATTGCTATCTTGGGCTGGAACTAATTCTGAATGTAGTTTTGTTTGGAAGAAGGAATTTAACCTTAATCTGAGTGTGATATGTGGCTTTGAAAAATTTAAATTAGGAACAAACTGCTGATTTTCAGAGTTCCTTTCTCTGTAACCAAATGATGAGAAAATTGTAAGCTTGGTTAGTAGGGTGTACACTGGACAACAGTCATTTCCAGCTGCGGTCCAAAGAGGAGGAGCCATGTCAGGAAAATGAGAGGAAGGGGAAGACAGTGTTTTCCAGATTTGTGTTTGGATTTGGTTAAACCAATATCCATGAGAAATAATATTTTGTGACACATGAGAATTATATGAAGGTTGAATCTCAGCGTCAGTAAGTAAAGGTTTGTGGGAACACACCAGCCTTGTTTGCTCAGGCACTGTCTGGTTGCTTCATGCTACAATAGTAGAGTTGAGTAGTTGTGACAGACTGTCTGTCCTGCAAAGTCTGAAATCTTTAGTCTTTCCCTTTCCAGAAAAAGCTTGCTGGCCCCAGGTATAGCCTTGGACAAATGGCTCTTCCTTTCCAGTGGTTCTCAACCTTCCTAATGCCACGACCCTTTAATACAGTTCCTCATGTTGTGGTGACCCCCCCAACCATAAAATTATTTTCGTTGCTACTTCCTAACTGTAATTTTGCTACTGTTATGAATCGTAATGTAAATATCTGATATGCTATATGTGTTTTCCAATGGTTGCAACCCACAGGTTGAGAACCGCTGCTTTAGACCCTGAATGATAGTTGATTAACCAGTTAATTGCCACGTGTCCAAAACGGAAACCATCCTGCTGTGTCTATAGGCTCTTACGTCGTACAAAGGGTTAAGAAACTTGATATGGCCAAGTATGTATAGGCCCTTTTCCTTCATGGTAACAATGACCTCTTCTCCTTTTACAGCCATTCAGCTAAACCCCAGTTACATCAGGGCCCTGCTGAGGAGAGCGGAGCTATATGAGAGCACGGACAAGCTCGATGAAGCCCTGGAAGACTACAAGTCCATTCTAGAAAAAGACCCATCAGTGCACCAAGCCAGGGAAGCTTGTATGGTAAACCTCATTCTTTTCTTCTTTTCCTTGTGTTGCTACGCAGTGAGTCTGAAAACATCCTTGGGACACAACTGCATTCCGTTTCTATACTTTTGAGGAGCCTATCATAATATATGGGCAACAGAACTTGAAAGTGGTAGCCAGAGACTCACCATTAACCATTTAAACTCCATTCTCAGTGTGTTACCTGTATAAACCTTTCGTCTCTAGGGCAGACAGAAATCTTACTTCATTGTTGGACTAGGACAGTCTTGTGCACTGTAGTACAGTTCACACCAAAGTGAGGCTTGGTGTTGTAGGTAAGGAATGTCTGGTTTCCTGTCATCCTTTTTCTTATTCAGTCACCAAGTTTCTACTTATTGTCATAGGCCTAACATATTTGCAATTGAGTAGATCCTAAACCAGTGGTTCTTAACCTTCCTCATGCCGCGACCCTTTAATACAGTTCATGTTGTGACCCCCAATCATAAAATTATTTTCGTTGCTACTTCATAACTGTAATTTTGCTACTGTTGTGAATCGTCATGTAAATATCTGATATGCAGGATGTATTTTCATTGTTACAAATTGAACATAATTAAAGCATAGTGATTAATCACAAAAACAATATGTAATTATATATGTGTTTTCTGATGGTCTTAGGCAACCCCTGTGAAAGGGTCGTTCGACCCCCAAAGGGGTCGCGACCCACAAGTTGAGAACTGCTATCCTAAACTAACCTTCTTGTCTTTCTTAAAATGACTTCGTCTTATCCCCAACACTGCGTTCCTTTTGCTTCTAGATGTTATAATTTTTTTTTTAAATATATTTTTTTTGATTTCAGAGAGGAAGGGAGAGAGAAACATCAATGGTGAGAAAGAATCATTGATCGGCTGCCTTCTGCATGACCCACATTGGGGATCCAGCCCGCAGGTTTCCTGACCAGGAATCAAACCGTGACTTCCTGGTTCATAGGTCAACACTCAATCACTGAGCCATGCCAGCTGGGCTAGATGTTATAATATTTTCATGTCAATTGTAAATTAGCTAAATGTTACTGCTTCCCCACTTTAAAAATAACTTCAGGTTTGTACTTTACCTTTAAAACCACTCTGTGATTGTCCCTAATGCATAGAGCAGCATATATTCTAAAGGATGTACTACTGAATTGAATGTGCATATGTTATTACCCCATAATAATGGTGTTCAAATCAATTTGAGAAACCTGGTTTTAACTAAACAGTTCTCTTCACTGCCACCCTCTGCAGAGAGCCGTTCGGGTGGAGGGGCCTGTCTTGAGCCCCACCTGGGAGAACATGGGCCAGCAGCAGACAGGAGGTGGGGGATCTACAGACATGTTTTGTTTAAGCCAGCTTTTTGTTTCTTTTTTTAATTGAGGCCACTTGTCAACATTGAAAAATGGGAAGATTTGACTAGATAAAAATCAAAGCATACTCTTCTTGAAAATAAATAGGAAGGCCTGGCCAGTGTGGCTCAGTGGTTGAGTGTCGACCTATGATCCAAGGAGGTCATAGTTCCAGTCCCTGTCAGGGTACATTCCTGGGGTGTGGGCTCGATCCCCAGTGGGGGGCGTGCAGGAGGCAGCCGATCATTGATTCTCTCTCATCATTGATGTTTCTATCTCTCCCTCTCCCTTCCTCTCTGAAATCAATAAAAATATATTTTTTTAAAATTGGAAGATGTGGACATACCGGGTTCTTCTTGAACTCCTGCATGCACCATCTGGCTAGAGCTCTCCCATCCCACTGCTGGCCACACTGCTCCATACTGCCTTCTGCCGATTCCTTCACTTGTTTCTATTTCCTGTCTGCCCTGCTCTGCAGGATTTCTCACTTATCTCTTGTAACGATTTTTCTACCGAGCAAACCGGAGAAGTGTTGACTGATCTTTTCGCATTAATATCCTAGGTGGTTTGCTCTGTTTTTATACTTACTTCCTTCCATAATAACAGATCTCTTATTTATCTAGAAATGGAGTAATGGGAGACAGCCTGGTTTGGATAATTAAAATACATAAGCAATTTGAAACCAGTTTTAATCCTTTATTTGACTTTTAACATATCTCTGAATGGTGGTAAGATCAACTAACTTTGACATGATGAAACGGAATACTTAAAACCTTGGCCAGATTCTTGGTAGCCTTTATCCTTGTCATATTAGCTTTAAGCCTTCTGTAAAAGGAAGCCTTTTATGCTAGTTTTTAGATGTATCAATAATTTATTTTAATTCTTATAATAGAGTTATTACTGGAATCCCAGAGTACTTGGGGCCAATTACAGAGCTAAAAGGGACCAGAGGAGACTCTAATCTAGATCAGTGGTTCTCAGTTAGGAATGATCTGGTTCCCAGGGACATTTGGCAGTGTCTGGAGACATTGTCATGACTAGAATGGTACTATTGACGTCTTAAGTGGGTAGAGACCAGGGTTGCTCTCAACATCCTACAGTGCACAAGACAACCCCCATAACAAAGAATGTCTTGGTCCAAAATGCCAATAGTGCCAAGGTTGAAAAACATCCATTATCGATCCGATTCTTTCTCAGTAAATTAGATTCTTTAAAGAAAGGACTTCAAGGTAAAAAATACATAAATGAGCAAAAATATTTAAAATATCACCCATAATCCCACCACCTAAGTATACATACCATTGTAAAATTCTGGTAGGTATCCTTTCAGACATTTTTTTGTGTATATGTTTGGTCACATCTTTATTGAGGTTTTCCTTGTGCCACTGTTGCCAAAAACTGGACATAGAGCAGTGAACCAAACAAAACTCCTATCTTCGTGTGACTCACCCACAAACAAAGACTTGCTTTTTTATTTAATATCACATATCTGTACTTTACCTTATCTCACATTCACATTTGTTTTTAATGTTTCTCAAATTCAGAATAAAGCTGAGGGATTTTTACCAATCCCGGTTTCTCCTCTTTTCCCTCAGAGATTACCTAAGCAAATTGAAGAACGAAATGAAAGACTGAAGGAAGAGATGTTAGGTAAGTTTGCTTCCCTTATTTCTCTTGACCATAAGGGTCTGGGAAGTGTGGGTCCCAGGGACAGCACCACAGTTTGAAACAACCTCTGGGCCTTTAATTTCAGTTCCATGGGGCTAGTGAGCTCTTAGCTGTTTTCACTCCAGGAGGAGCACTGTGGTTTACAGAGGGTGTCAGCTTTTCAAAACCCAAACTGCTGTTTATTTTTCTTGAAAATTTCCCTGCCTATAAGAATGCAAACACAGTTCCCAACCTGGGATACCACCAACCTGTATTTCAGATCATGAGTGTCATGAAAACAGTTGAGTTTCTTCACTGAGTAAACAGCTTAAGGCTTTAAATTCATTAGGATGCAGTCACGACCAGCCAATACCATGGCAGAATTGAGGGAATTTCTGTTTTGAAAATGCACTGAGTCTCTTTGAGGAGATGTACGTGAGAAGACAGGGATTAGGAGTAAACGGGGACGTGGGGAAAAGGCTGTGAGTGGAGGGCAGGGCAAGTAGATTCTTTGGATCCATGTTTTAGTTAGTTCTCTTGTTTGCCAGATTTATAGTTGGAATCAGAGAAACCCTCTCATGAACAGTCTGCCCAGCATATTCTGCTTATAACCTGATGTTTCCCTACTCAAGATCGAGTATAGGGTCTTCCTTACGAATATTTTCTAAATTTGTCACATGACTTATATTTAATATAATGCAGTCACATGTGCCTAAAAGAAAAATCTTTTATAATAAGTTGAGCCTGGCCTTTTATGAGCTGTAAGTGTTGGGACCCAGAGAATGAGAACAGATTTCCCCACGGTTCACTCTGACAGGAGAGCTGATTGAGAAGAGCCCATTAGCCTAGGCTAGTGGTCAGCAAACTGCAGCTTGGCAAACCATGGCTTGCGAGCCACATGCGGCTCTTTGGCCCCTTGAGTGTGGCTCTTCCACAAAATACTGGCTCTTCCACAAAATACCGACTTCTGCACATGGGCCACAAAGTTTCAATTGCACTGTACGTGCACGCCCGCACGTGGTATTTTGTGGAAGAGCCACACTCAAGGGACCAAAGAGCCACATGTGGCTCGCGAGCTGCGGTAAACTCATTAGTCAACAGAGCCAAATATCAACAGTACAACGATTGAAATTTCTTTTGAGAGCCAATTTTTTTAAACTTAAACTATATAAGTAGGTACATTGTTATTAACTTAATTAGGGTACTCCTAAGGCTTAGGAAGAGCCACACTCAAGGGGCCAAAGAGCCGCATGTGGCCCGCGAGCAGCAGTTTGCCGACCACGGGCTAGGTGATCCACAGCCCTCCGGCTCTGCTGGCTGGACACAGGCTCCAGGGAGAGCTGCTTCAGACTGGCAGTTTCTAGAGCAGGGGTGGGCAAACTTTTTGATTCGAGGGCCACAATGGGTTCTTAAACTGGACCGGAGGGCCGGAACAAAAGCATGGATGGAGTGTTTGTGTGAACTAATATAAATTCAAAGTAAACATCATTACATAAAAGGGTACGATCTTTTTTTTTTTTTTTTTTTTTAGTTTTATTCATTTCAAACGGGCCAGATCCGGCCCGCGGGCCGTAGTTTGCCCACGGCTGTTCTAGAGCCTTCCCCTGTTTCTCCCTAAAAGGCTTTCTCTAATTTACTTATTTAATTGAACTTTACACCATGTTTGAGCAGAAAAATTATTTTGGAGATTCTCCTTTGTCAAAAAAGAGCGTTTCTCTCCTAACGATGATGCTTTATTTTAGCCCCAAAAAAGTAAGTGCATTTAGTTGAGCTAGACTTCCTGCTGAAAGAGATGGCTTTATGGATGACCACAGTGGACATGGGAAAGACAACTAGGCAGTGCTCTCCAGGCTTTGTGCAAAACCGGGAAGGAATGAGTGCAAACTGAGCCTGATTGCGTCGTCAATGGCAGCTGGGATCAAAACTTCCATCTGTCCCCGTCACTGTAAATTCTAATGAACCCTATCTTCATGGCTTTGGATTTTACTTATATTGTTCCCTCCATGTGAAATATTCAAGTTGAATTAATTCCTTCAGTTGCTTCGGTAATGAAATCTCCCATCCGACTTAAACAATTTAAGTTGCTTGGTAAGTAATAACTGGTTTGTTGTTACACATGAATAGTATTAATAGCTGGACTCTTTTTTCTTAATGAATATAAGGGTCATGAACAAAGTATTGCTTGTGGGTGTTACCTGCCATCGGGGAGTGTGAGGAGAGAAATCACTCTGATGGACTCAGCCCCACAAGAGCTTTCTGGGTGTTCTCCCCTCCTTGTCACGGGTGGCGTGGCTGTGGTCTGTGTGCCGTGAGAGCCTTGGAGGGTGGTCATTCTGAGTGCAAAATAACGTCACTTCCTTAGAAGGGGAGCAAGCTTTTGCCATGGACTTGGCATGATTTTTTGTGCGAGTTTCTGTGGGAATGATAGCTTCTGCTGGAGCACTGGTAGTTAAAGATTTTAAAAACTGCATGGTGTAGGAAATTATGTGGTTATTGAACAAAATGAGCTTTTATTCAGGTTTTTCTTTTCTCTCTATAACTTGACTTTCTTTTGTTAGAAAGAAGACTTATATACCCCCCTCCTTAGGGGGAAAAATCCTGATTGAAATTCGGAATGGGTAACACATACTCTGCCCTCCCTTCTTAGCCTGTCATTTATAAATGTCATCAGAACAGGAGTGGGGACCCAGGTGGCCTCAGCCCCAGTGCCACAGTCCTTGCTGAGCACAGGATGATCCGATTGGCTTTATATTTGAGGAAAGTGGTCACAACGGGAGTGTTTGCTTTTGTCCTTTCCTCTGGAAAGATTAACCTCATGGCCACGAAAGCCAGGGAATCTGAGGTTTGAAGGATCTCAGGCATGTGGTCAGTGATGTGATGAGGTGGAAATAGGTGTCCTGGACAGAGCTCCCCAAAGTCAGGCTGAGTGATGGTGCCAGATTTGCTACAGGGGGAATAGGGAAACCTAATTGACTACTGCCCGGATGGCGGGGTGGGGGTGGAATTTGGCCACCAATGAAAAGTGTGGCACATACAGGCAAATGAGCCTGTCTTAGGCACAAGGAAGCTGCTTTTTGTCTGAGTGTCCAACCTGACTTAAACAGCAGGAAAATTCATGTGTGTGATTGTGCATCTCTTTAGGAGCATGATCGTTACTGAAGGTGCTTCTCTGCCATCATCTTAAACAGCAAAAGGTGAACTTTTCAGATGCTAGAAACTTGTTGGTCCAAACAGAAAGTTTTTCGCTGTTCCCTTAGGTTCGACTGGCCCCCTCTGATTTCTTAGTTGCTATATCCAACATCGTAGACATTCAGATGTTTGGTCAGTGAATAAATGGCCTCTTTCCCACAATGTGGCACTGCCTTTCTGTCAGGCCCCTCCAGGCTCTCCTCTTCTGGTCACAGCACTAACAACCCCAAAAGCTCAGTACTTAAGCCATCAGTGGCCTTCCCTATGACACAAGAACCATAGACGCTGGGCCTGGCTTGTGGGAACCTAAACCTGATGCCATGCACCCTCCCTCCTCCCTTTCCGCCCATTGGACACACTGCTCACTCCTGCCTACCTGGGGAGGGGCCTGCAGTGAATCCTCCACCCAGGTAGTCGCTCTGGACAGGGGTTCTTCCAAATGAAATTGCCCTCTTGGGACTCTCAAGATGCGTGCTCACTTGCTGTGTCAGAGGAGCCACAGATTATGCCAGCAGGGACATTTTATTGGGCTTCTTAAAATATTCATTTCCTCCCTCTCCTCAACACCAAGACAGACTGCCAAAGTTCTGGGTGACACTTTCCTGAGGATGCCCCATCTTGTCTCTGCTTGGTGTGGTCCCCAATTCCTGCATTCCTCTACCAATACCATGCTCTGTGCTACCCCCTGTGTGCAGGGACAAGTTCTACGCCAGTGATGCTCCTTAAAGAGAAGCACTGAGCGTGCGTTCCAGGTTTATGTTTGGGAAGCCTGCCTGGAGAATGGTTGCCCTGCGTTCCTGGAGCTTTCTCAGACTGTGATGAGCTTCAGAGGGATAAATCTTAGAATGAAACCAAAAGTTCTTTCCATGAGTTATTAGTACAGGCTGGACATTTGAAGGACAGACATCTTCATGTTCTTTACCTGGGCTTTACTTCAAGATGGGAGGCCTCAGAGGGACAAAGTTGCTAACAGGGATAAGGTGGGAGGACCCTGTACCTCTGGTGACTGGGGTTTCTTTCCTTTTACCCCCATTCTCATCTCCATTGGAAGCAGATCTGCAAGAAAAATTAAGAACAGTTTTAGAAAGGATTGAAACTGCTTTTTCACTCATCCTAGCCAATATTTTCCAAAACACTCCTGGTTTCAAATATTCCATCCCTTTGCCCCATAAATCCCTAAGAATCTCTCAAATGTTCTAGAAACTCCCTCAACTATTGACATACAAGCTCCATGACTTTCTTGTATATAGAATCAGCATAAAATCCCTTGGTTACACCATGTGTCTCAGTTCTGGCTTTAGGACAGGAAGTCGCCGGTAGTTAAAGCCTGAAACTTGGGGAGAGAAGGCTGGACTATTGAGGTTGACAGGCTTGTGCAAATGAACGAGATCACCCCTTCCCTGAGAGTGATGCGTTTGGTGTGGAAGTTGAGGCTTTATGTAGAAAAGTAGGAGGCTCTTGAATTTGAAATCAGGTTCAGTAGAAATCTGCTAAGTGGAATTAGACTCAGCAGGTGGCTGCTATTGTTTCTTAGAGAACAGACGTGGAGAGGCCTGTGTCCCACCGCCAGGCAATGGGGATTGGCAGGGTGCCCTTGTTTACCCGGGAGCAGCAGGTGATTTGGCCACCACTCACCCCAGAGTTTATGTCAGCAGTTCTCAGCCTGAGGGTCCGGACCCCTTTGGGGGTCGAACGACCCTTTCACAGGGGTCGCCTAAGACCATCGGAAAACACATATATAATTACATATTGTTTTTGTGATTAACCACTATGCCTTAATTATGTTCAATTTGTAACAATGAAAATACATCCTGCATATCAGATATTTACATGACGATTCATAACAGTAGCAAAATTACAGTTATGAAGTAGCAACGAAAATAATTTTATGGTTGGGGGTCACCACAACATAAGGAACTGTATTAAAGGGTTGCGGCATTAGGAAGGTTGAGAACCACTGGTCTATGTCCTTTGGTGGGTCTGGCCAGTTTGGACAGGAAATTTTGCTCTCGCAGAAGCCAGCTGGGTTCCCTCCTGCTCATGTACACACAGGTTCCAGGGTGGATGGCATCGAAGTGACTGCACTCCAGAGGGGTAGTTGGGGACTGAGGCCTCATCATTTAAAAGCAGGAGTTTGTCACTACCAAGAGATGCTCTTTATATTTTGTAATCGGATAGTAAGGCGAGCTCAATGGGGGCCTTCCTGCTTCTGTTCATTCCCCATATTTATTTGCGTTTTTGCTTTTACATTGCAGGTAAACTAAAAGATCTTGGGAACTTGGTTCTCCGACCTTTTGGACTCTCCACAGAAAATTTCCAGATCAAACAGGATTCCTCTACTGGCTCTTACTCCATCAATTTTGTTCAAAACCCAAATAATAACAGATAACAGAGATAACAGTAACTTTTAAAGCTGGCTAGAAAATTGTGTGCTGCTTGCTGGTAGCAAGGGGAAAGGCCCTGCCAATGTTTACGTTCTAAAAGCATCTTATCTCAAAGGCCATCCAGTAGAGCCCAGTGCACCCTTCCTTGTGTTTTGTGATCAGGGTGAAATGTACGTCCTGATGTAATGAACCTAATCTGATTTCCATTTTAAGTTGGTGTCTGTGCAGCTCTTGTCCCTGGTTCTGGCTGTCCTTTGTTTTGTCCAGGAGGAGCCTGTTAAGGCTGACCTCCTAAGCCATACAAACATACAAGCCCAGACGCCAGCTCTCCTGGCCCCAGCAAACCTGCTGGTCAGAGACTGCCCAGACATGACTGATGGGGGTCCTGCCTACTGCCCTCTCCCAATCACACACACTGCCCAGGCTGCCAGGCGTGGGCTCCTGATTTCCTCTGTGGTAATAAATGCTTTCTGTGACAGTCTGCGCCTGTGAATTTTGTCCCCATGACAGCTGAAGCAGGCTTCTCTGGCTCTGGGAGCAGTGTTCAGGCAATGTCATTGTTACTGGACTCCACAGATTTGCCCGAAGTCTTAGTTGCCACCTTGAGGATGACCTTGAAAGAGTTGACCATTCTACCCTGTACTTGACTTCAGAAACCACCTCAAGCGTTGGCCCTCCCCAGGTTTCCAGATACTATGAAATCTTTTTTTTTTTTTTTTTTTCGACCAAGCATCTCTTATTTTCAACTTAAAATAGCTTCATTCAGGAATGGTGATATGTGAATCCCAGAATAAAATATTCTTTTAGACTACGTGAACCCAGAGGTTTCAAAGGTAGGTGTTTATTTGGGGTTTTTATATTCATTAGTTGATGCTGGTGAAAAGCTTCCAGTTTTACTGGTTTGTGACAAAGGCAGTGCCACGTTTCATCTCAGAAATGAAGTACATGCATAACTCTAAGTGACATGTTAAGGATTGTGCTGGTTCTTTGATCTCTTCTCAAAGCCCTTTAGGCTGTTGCTTTGTGGATAGTGGAATTATGCACAGTATTGACTTTGATTTGCTAAGCTTATCTCCCAGATTGAAAAGAAATTCTCCACAGAATTTACTAGGGGAGAGGGAGAAAGAATATTGCTAATTTTTTTTTATTCTTTTATGGTAAATTTTCCCCAAAAGGTTTGAGAAATCCTGCGTGTGTACAGAAACATAAAACTGGGTGGTGCAGCATCAGTGGCAAGTGCTGCTTGCACGTCCATGTCAGGCTGGAGTCGTGCTCAGACCCCTTCCCACTCCAAAACATTTAAAGAGTATTCTGTTGATATGTACGTTAGAATTAAAACAAATTTCTTAAATATTTAGTCAATTCTTTAAAAGTAAATACATTTCATGTTAATATAAAAATTTCTAGAAAAAGATCTTCCAAATCAAAACACATTTTAATGAGTGACATCATTCTACATATTTGCAAATCTCTTAAACATTAGGCTTGATAGAAGATTCTCATTGTCACAGTATCACATCATGTCGTCTGGAAAATTCTGCATGCTCATGACAGAATGATGGTGAAAAAAGCAGATAATCCCTTAATATTACTAAGAAAATATTATGGACTATATTTTGCTTAGATTTGACTTGAGTTCAATGGCCGAGACTGAGCAAAGGTTGGGACTGAGATTCCTGAAGGACTAGCTGAGCTCCAAGGAATAGGAATCTTGTTTGCCTAGAAACAGCCCTGGTGAAGACACCACCATTCCTGCAGGGTGTAGAGGTGTTGCTTTTTAGGCCTCCCCCCACCCACCCCAACACACACACACACACACACCCCCTCCTGAAATCATACAGGATACCAAACAAGGCCCACATTAAATGCCTCTAGTGAGTGGGCCAAGTAATGTATATGGAAAGAAATGAAGTTTGCTTAAGCCTAGAAGTTTATATGTACCACTGTTATTTCTCTACTTCCAAAATCTGGGGGAAACGGTAGATTTAAACGTTTTGAAAACATTTGACAATAGAAGAACCTTTAAACTGTTGAAAAGTAGATATTAGTGGAAGGAAAGAAGGTAGCCTGTTTGCCTTCTGCTGCTAAAGTATGATTTAAAGTTCAGTGATGCCTTCCTCCAACCAAAACAAGTATGCCAAAATTTACAGTAATCATACTGTGACATTGCATGTATTATCCCAGTGCTGTTGCAAAGGATCAAAATAATTTTGGATCTCCTTCTAGAGCAGTGGTTCTCAACCTGTGGGTCGCGACCATTGGAAAACACAGCATATCAGATATTTACATTACGATTCATAACAGTAGCAAAAGTAGTTATGAAGTAGCAACGAAAATAATTTTATGGTTGGGGGTCACCACAACATGAGGTATTGAAGGGTCGCAGCATTAGGAAGGTTGAGAACCACAGTTCTAGAGTATTTTTGAAGGCTCAAAGACACTTTGTTTTTTTAACCTATTTGCCTCCATGAATAGACCAAGAGCTCCTAGAAGGTAAGGGTCATATTTACTTTGAAAATAGCACTGCTACTCTACTAGAAACGTAGTAAATTAGTCTGAAAGGACATTGCTCAGTAAGTGGTCTCAATGTGAACTATCACTACCCGAGTGTTCAGATTCTGTGCTCTTTATTTAGTACTGTTTTAAAATGTCTCCTTTGCTGCTAACCAATATGTTATCTCAAGATAAGTAGCAACTAGCTTTTCTCAAAATATTAAGATCCAGCAAGTGATTCAAATGTCAGCTTAGGTTTATGTGCTGCTTGTCACCTCCCAAAGAATGTGTGGGAGGCAATGAAAGACAACCTGTTGTCTTCACCTCGTCAGGGCCCTTGTCTTGGGTTCCAGAGTTCAGTTTCTGCAGTTTTTTGTATGCACAGGTGTGCAGCTGTGGCCACTTTGGAGGGCTCAGCTAGGATTTCTCAATAGTGAATTCAGTAATCGCAGCTTAACTTGTATGCGTGCATATGAGCAAAACCAATGGACACAGATGGTGGGGGGGGGTGAGGGCTTGAGGGTGGCGGGGGAAGAGGTCAATTGGGGGAAAACAAGAGACTCATGTAATACTTTAAACAACAAGGAACTTTAAAAAAGAAGAGTTTGTAAAGAAAGCCCCTTAAAATCAGGTGAGCCCCATCCTGTGTAGCCATGTAGAATGTCCTCAGATACTGAAATGTTCAACCTGGCTTGTAAGCATGTCTTCTGATTTTTAAATTTTCAATTTTGCATCTTAGATATTTGTGAGGATTTGTCTTTGGACTTTCAAAAATCCCCAACTTGTCCTCTAGTGTCAGCTTCCCCCCTTTCTCCCAGGTCACATTTCCATTGAATCTCATGTCCTCTATGTGTCCGCACTGTCAATCACCTCTCCAACTTTCACATGAGCAGCTTTTCCATCCACTGGAGCCTCTGTACAAGGCTTACCCAGGAAACTAGGACTATTACTATAAATTCACACCAGCTAGTGGTTTCTGTAGTTTTCTTCACATCATGGAACCAAAATTCTATTCTTGAAATCCAGCCTCTTCTAGAAACGACCTTCTGCATGCGTTTCCCTTCCATCACAAACAGTTCATCTGGGTTATTTCTATCCTCTGGCTCCACTACCCCTCTCCCCCAATATCCTATGATTTTACAAGTTATTGTGCTTATAGGAAGAGACTGTCACACTGGGTGAGGAAATGCGAGTCTGAGGAGTGGCCGAACCTACTAGCTAATGACCTGGACATCGCAGCCCTGGGCCCACATCTGAGCTTCATTAAAATGACAAGCCCTCACACTTGGACATTCAGATGGCTCAGGTATTGTCAAAGTCACAAATGTTTAATTCATAAATGCCGAGTGTATTTCTAATATTTTGTGTAGTTGAAGTAGGGCACAGCCCCCAGGAAATGTTGCTAGGCCTGGGATTATTTGTGGTGTGCCTCTGGTCTCTGAGCTGATCTCTACACGATTGCTGAACACCTTCAAACAGCTCTTAAGCTAAAATCCAGACAGAATCAGGAAGAGCAGACTTGGAATTTTTTAGTGCATTTTACTATTTGATTAGTTTCCTGGGGGAACCAGCAGCAGGTGTTAAATGTAAACCTGACTAAAGATATATCAGCTCTGATGCCCCAGCTAAGCAGATCTGTAAATCTTGTCTTTTATAAACTGGTTTAGCAAAACTTCCTGTTATCTTAAGCTTGCCCTTTAAATAAAGGGAAAGCCTAGAGCCCCAGCAGTCTCGTGGGTGCAGCCTGTGAACCTGCAGCCAAGGTGGCTGCCGGCCTGGCTGCTGTTCATGTTGCCTTCTGTGACCACTTCCCTCTCGCTCCCTAACTCACCCCTGACTTCTCTAATACTCCTATCGGTCTATGTTGTGTGCTTGGCACATAGCTGCCACCTTCGAAAAACCTCCTTGGAGCAGTTTGAGCAACTTGTCTTTCAGCCTGCCCCCTCTGCACCACAGAAGTCACGGGCTGTCCTCCTGTCATCTGGGTCCTTTAAAAAAGGAAATGTGTGCACGTTCTACCAGAAGTGACTAGAAAACCTGTTCCTTCAGGGAACTGCAAAATTAAAGCTGTACAGAGGAGAGAGGCGATCATTTTCCATTCACTTCCTATGTTGGGGGAGAGCAGCCCTTAACCAACACTAGACTGAGAATTGGAAATGGATGACTTGCTACTAGCCAGCCCAAGTGCTGTGGTAAAAAATAACCACAGAGCCTAAGAATAACTGCTTACAACCCTTCAAGGGGCAAACTAGTTATAAAATTAGTTTATGAAAAGTAGTGACTAGGCTGCCCTCATCTTTCAAAGCATCAGAAATTTCAGTCTTCCTTGCTACAAGCTGGTTGAAACTAGGGATGGGTACATAGTTTGTTATACTGCTGTACCTCTACAAATGTCTGAAATATTCCACAACAAAAATATGCCATTTTATTCTAATTTTCCAACCCTCACATCCACCATCTAGAAATAGGCTCCGCCGGAACCGGTTTGGCTCAGTGGATAGAGCGTCAGCCTGCGGACTGAAAGGTCCCAAGTTTAATTCTGGTCAAGGGCATGTACCTGGGTTGCGGACACATCCCCAGTAGGAGATGTGCAGGAGGCAGCTGATCGATGTTTCTCTCTCATCGATGTTTCTAACTCTCTCCCTTCCTCTCTGTAAAAAATCAATAAAATTAAAAAAAAAAAATAGAAATAGGCTCCATCACACGGGTTCTGTCAGCCAGAACTAGAAATAGGACGCCCCACCTTCTTCTTCCTTTCACTCAAGGGGAAACTGGAAGCTCACATTTTCTTTCCCCTTAGCTAAACGCAGGGCTTGGTGCCCTACTGCCAAGGAAGCCCATAGCTAACAAATTGTGGCCGTGACTCAGTCCCAGCTACTAGTTTCTGGCTTGCTGAAAAATACGGCCTATCTCAATGGGAACTCCTATCGGGCACTGGGGCTGCTATGCTCAGGTATCACAACAGATGTAGACAAGACTTGTAGGAATGGTTTGATGGTCCCAAAATAGAATGCTATTTGCCTTGTGAAGTCAACTGGAAGGAAAGGTCTGATAACTTCCTAGGGCTGTGTAACACTTGTATTGGGTTCTGCCATTGGCGGAGTTGGCATCAAAGGCTGGAGCTTCAGCTGCTGCTGCAAAAGCTTTTCCAGTCCGTCTTCTACAGATGTGAAAGCAGCTGCATTTAAACATGTGAAGGATGGCCCCGTTCACTGCCTTCTGTAAGGTGGTTCTGTCTTACTAAAGGCCAGCTATGCTCTTCTGGGGCCGGACACAGTCGTCTCCCTCCACTTCTTCACGCTGCTGATCCCATTCATCATCTTTAGAGCACAGGTTTCTGCTTTGACTTAGGATCCACAGGAGTTAGGGGATGAGCTTAGAATTCAAAAACACAGGATTGTAGAATATTTCGTTCAAGTAAAGATTCCCTTGTCTCCCATGTTTTGGGCCTTAGCTAAGGAGAAAAGGAAGGGCTTGAGTGAGACACTTCTTTTCCGCACCCCATTTTGGCCAGTGCGGCCAGGCCTGGTTCTTTTGCAGGAAGATCTTGGATAGAACTAAGATTAGAACCCATGTCATCTTTCTCTTAATATCACCAATGTTAGAAGCTTCTACTCACATGCCTCACGAGGGAATAATGAAAGGGCTAACCCAGAAGTGTTTTTAACTCTTAAGGACAATAACCTAGCCTGTGTTTGGCCAGCTCTTCCTTCCTCTGGCACAGTATTCCTGAGTTGTATCTTCTTTCAGCCCAGGTTCATTACCTTCTTGACATCTAAGCAAAGGTGTTGTTAGGTCATGAAATTTCATTGTGAATAAGCAGAGATTTGGCAAGACACTCATCACTAGAGAAAAGTATGCTTTAAAAACACAGCATGCTCTATTTGACTACTGAGGGAGGCATCATTACTTGAAAGAGAAAAATGAGCTATAAAAGCAGTAAAACAGCTTCTAGCCACAGTGCATATTTGCAGTGACATACCCACCATGCCCAGGGAGGTGCTGGTACAGTCCACACGATTCCAGGGCATGAATAAGATCCTAAGTGTATGCATGGGTTGCATCCCTTATTCCCTGTATCTGGTAGGAATTGTGTCTGTAAACATACTGGCACACGTCATGACACCATCAGGTGGTCAGGTGGATACCATGGTATGGAGGTAGGGGGGAGAGATCTCGTGTAGGCCTTCCAGATCCTGAGCTCATGGCTTATTTATCTTCCCTGGTTCTCTCTACCTCTCTTATCATTAGTGAGAAACTTGAGGAAGAAAAGATATTACCAGATTCCAGTGGCCTCCTTTCTACACTCATTTAGATAAGCTGAAATGGGAGAATGTTTGCAATTAAAGACTCCATGTATACTCTGGAAAAACTGGCAGCCTTCCAAAGGATTGCTTTACACAAATGGGGCGGGGGGACACTGACCTAAGTTTTTGGGTCAGTGCAGAAAAACTTCAATTGTCTGGTAAGTTTTAAGAGGCTACTTTTTCCCTGACAGCTGAGTGGTTTCTGATCAAACACTTGACCTCACTTTCACATTGAATGTGCTGGGCTTTTAAAGAAGCAACCAATTATCCGTAAGAGCAGGACTCCTTTAAACAAACAACCCACCAGTAGATATTTGTTTCCATCATTCACACTCCTCCAGCCTTAGACATAAAGAAGTCCCATAAAATCCCTCCAGTGATGAAGAACTTACAGGCTCTCCTAAGGAAGCAATGCTACTTAAAACAGCTCCTTAAAGGACAACTAGTGGTTGAATTTCAATAGCCTTTAAAACCTAACTCCTAGAAAGTAAATAGTTTATAAATAACTAAATTTTTAAAAATATCAAGACTTTATTGGATGTTACACAACATTCTTTTAACATTTATGTCTCAGCATACTTTAGATGAGAAATTTGTCATTCAAGTCTACAAAATGAAATAGGCTTCTGAAGATTTGAAATACAAAGGTAGCATGAAGCATAGCTTAAATATTAAGCAACTAAAGCAATGAAAGTGAAATAGCAACATGGTATGTCCTAGATTTTAAATACCAAGTTTCATTTTTTTTTAAATGAAAAATCTGGTTTATAACAAAACACCTTTTGAGAATTTATCATGAGAAAAAATAGGTCCTTAAAGCCTGATCTCTCAATTTTTTTGCCTTTTATCATTTCCATCACTCTGCACAAATAATGCTAAAGCTTACTTAAAACTCTTGATTATACAACTCACATGGCATGAGTTGTCTGGTTCTTGAAGGGAGTTTGGAAGGTACTGCTGGTGGTAATACAGCTAAAGACAAGATGGGCAGAGAGTCTGGTGCCACTGAGGCCTGTAATCTTTAGACTCCCTGCTGGCATAGTTCCTGAGCTTTTTCAGATTTCATCATATGTATAATGACTTCATGATAAATACTTTCCAAAAAAGACAATTTTAGAATGCAGTCACAACTTTTAATTACTTACAGTGTAATTAGGATTTGTATTCAACTCACAGAAATGAGAGTGCCTACCTTTTCTTCTTTGAGTTGTGAAACAATTCCTTAGTCAGGTATATTAAATGTTCTAAAACTCCCCCCAGAACCTTTTATTAATCCTGAGTGTGGAGTTAAGTAATTCCAAACCTATACAGTAAGATTATGGAAAGTTTGAACACTTAAGCCAAATGCTGTTATGTTGCGTCAAATGAATTGTTTTTTGGCTTTTTTTTTTTGTATTAAGTAATAAGGATTATCTTTCAGGTTTAAAAAATAAATTGGTATTGCCACTAAAAAACTTCAGTATTTATTATTAAAAGTACGGCACCATCAAATATAAAATACCTTAAAAATGTAGCACTAACAGGTCAATCTGGTTATCTCTGCTCATTAAAAAAGAAAAATTAAGGGTTTTTATAATACGTATTTTCCAAAGGTAAGAATTCATGAAAAGCCTGACACCATCTTTTATGGGTCTGTTTCTGCTGCCAGTTCCCCAGGCACAAGCCCCACCTGACACCTGTAAGAATTTCTTGCACTTACACAGAAAGAGGAGCTCTCTGGGGGGAGAGCGTCACATCAGAATTCAGATTTTTCACCTTTTCGGATCTAAATAAAATTAATAATGATAGGAAGAGTAAATGCTTTTTCAGCTCAGTAGATTTCAGAACTAGATCTCAGAATATACATCACTCTGAGATCAACACTAGCCTATCTACTCTGACTCAGAATTTAAAAGTTAAGAATGGGGTTATGAAAATGTGCACAAAATGTTAAAATACTGGTGGCTAATAAATACATCTTAATATGTATTAAGGTAATACAGCCCTGCTTTATGAAAGAAAGGTCCAAATTTTCAGGGTGGGTAGGGTGGGGGTACCTTACCATCCTTTTAGGATGATGTTAAATCTTTCCTGTCGTTTCCAGGGGCACCCTGAAGGGAAACACTGGCCTCAGCACATGTGACCACTGGTTTCACAGGCGAGTCATTTTAGAAATACCTTTGCTCATATCTGAACTGAGTAACATAAACCTCGGAGAAAGAACAAAGTTTTAGTATGAAAGATAATTCAACATTTCTGCCATCATCCCATGCCTTTTAGGTCTGTCCAAACTCCTGATAAGAACTTCACAATCAAAAGAACTGTCTTCGCACATAAAATGAGTTCTTGTGTGCGTATTTCACATCACTTTTCTCCTCATCTCATGCATAATTTATTGCAATAGTTTAGTTTGTTTTAGAAAACATTCCCCTAATACCTCTTCTTCGGTTTACTATAGCACAATTTACAGGTGCCCTTTAGAGACTGTTGGTTTTAACCACTGCCTGAACATTTACTTCTTAGTGCAGCTTTAAAAATCTGAGTCTCCAATTTCATTCAATCCTGGTGCTCTGGTGTTCTCTGTGTCACTGTGGTACAGGTCCACGAAACCAGCAGCCTGCTAATGTCTTTGTGCTGAAATATAGTAAAGAAAAGGAAGAAAATGTAGTTAAGCACAAGTAATTATATGAGAAAAGTGATGTCCTTGTTTAATTAAGCCCTATATAGTTTAATTAAGCCCTATATAGATTTTGTGAGATCACAACTGATTTTTTTCTTTAAAATCAGTAAAACTTGACCAAACAACTTACTGCCACTCTAAACCAGCAGAAGCATTCATGTTCTTTCCAACAGAAATAAAATGGTTGTCATCTTCACATTATCAATCTGCACTTGAAAATTTCTAAAGGGAACTGTAGCTTTGTTCTTTACACTGCATTTCACAGGTTACAACACGAAGCTTTATGAGCCAGCTTAGCTGCTGTGCACTGCTGTGAAGCACCAGCAGCCTGGCTGTAGCACCGGCTACCTGCAGACCTTAGAAGCATTTATATACAAAACTTGGCTATGTCAAAGTCCGCTGCAGATCACACTGTCCAAACAGGTACCAATAGCAAAAAAGAGGAGGGTGGGGGGTGACTCCCCAGAGGTAGACACGAACATCAGAGGCATCAAAAGAGCACCATTGTGTCCTAGAAGACAACTTGTACGCACTGGTTAGACCAGGGGTGGGCAAACTTTTTGACTCGAGGGCCACAATGGGTTCTTAAACTGGACCGGAGGGCCAGAACAAAAGCATGGATGGAGTGTTTGTGTGAACTAATATAAATTCAAAGTAAACATCATTACATAAAAGGGTACGGAAGGGTACGGTCTTTTTTTTTTTTTTTTTAGTTTTATTCATTTCAAACGGGCCGGATCCAGCCCGTAGGCCGTAGTTTGCCCACGGCTGGGTTAGACTGACCAGTCCTCCTACAAAAAGCAGGACTCTGAAGAGAACATTAGAAAGGACAAGGCTTATGAAAATTACTACCAATACCATAACCAGAATGCCTAACATTCCAACCTGCCTTTAATACCAGAAGTGGAAAAAACACCACTGAAATCCTCTACAATCCCCAGTATCAATAGGAGTTTGACTTCCAAAAGAGGTGATCTGTGGAGAGAACAATGAGTTTTTTGGTCAAATGTATTTTTAAACCAAAAATGAGGTATTTTCAGTGTGATAACAGACAAAACAAATACAGAATGTAAAAATAAAAGAAAAATCCCCATTTTTCCCAATATTTAACTTCCAAACATTTCACAATAGGCGTCTTTCCCACTCTTAAAATGGAGAAAGAGTTCTGGTAAATTTCCAACGGTTGCCATGCTTCATTCACTTACTGAATCAAAGCCTATAAATAAATTCCACAGGGCATTCTATCTTCCTAAGAAATGAAAAATTACTTCTAGCCATAAACACAGCACACATCAGAGTGGAAGGTGGGTATAGTCCTTGCTTCTAAAGAACCAGAATGATTAACACTTAAAATTTCACACTCAGCTAAGAGCAGTGTTTATTTTCTAAAACTATTATAATGTAATACTAATATTCAGAATTATACTAATATAATACTCAGAACTTTGGTAGTAAGTATCTTTTATAAATTTAAGGAGAAAAATAGTAACTAGCCAATCCCATGTACACTTCCATTTCCTATTTATAACTTCAATCTGAGTGAGGCCTATTCAGGCCGGCAGGAAAGTCAAGGATTGTAGCAGATCTTACTATTCATATGACAGGTGCAGAATAAAAACAAAGACGCTATTCCCTCAAGAGATCATTTTAAGGGTAGCTGCCACCCCTATACAGGTAAGAGTCCATAATTCTCCAGCCTCAACCTCTGATCCAAAATGTGCCATTCTGACCCAGCTTGCACATTACAGCTCATGCAGCAATACAGCCCAATGAATAGCCTTAATTCAGGCAAACAAAAAAAAAGATCACAAATTCAAAAGCAGCACAACGGAATCCCGAAATCTTTCCTCCCATTTAAGAGACCAAAATAAGCCTTTCAGGCATTATCCAAAGTTTTCATAAATGTGCTTAAATAGATTACAACTACACTGCCACATTCTTGCCACCCACTGAGTTGTAAATGACAGTTTTGAGATTAACTCAATAAGAATATATATATGAATATATATATTCTTATATATACAGTAAGAAGAAATGACTACAAAATTAATGAATATAAAAGTGAGAAAGGTTGAGGTAGTGAAAAGATAAAGGAATCCACTATTTGACCATCTATGGAGGCTCAGTTGCCATCTGGCATAATTCTACAATCTGACACCCAACTTCTACCACCGTAGGAAAAATTCCTCTCAATTCATGGAAGCTCGAAGGAGGCTGACTCTACTTTTTAGCACAGCAGGTAACACGAAATGAAAAGTTATTTTGACTCATTAAAACGATCGCCTATATGAGGGATACGCAGCTACCAATGAAAAGCTAAGGAAAAAGAACTAATGAATTTTTACATCTAGCCTCATCTACTTTGGAAATGATCAAGTGATGATATGGTGCCCTCTTCACTCTGGCAGAGCTGAACACAGACAGACCTGCCCGTCTCACTGTTAACGTCAATGCTCCCAGTCTGAATCCACAGTGGTCTGTCAGACACTGTAAGGGAGCAGCAGGATTCGTCACTGTCTGATGTAATAGCTGCCATTTGTTGAGACCTATGGTAGAAAAAACCAAGTTAACAAAAGTAGAGAAGTCATTTGAGTTCTTTTTAATCCATTTTACAAAAAAATTTTTTTTAATCTGACCAAAATTCAGTGGAATTTTCATAATGAATTTATTCTACATAACTTACTGGCTGCACAAAATGTGAAGCTCTGGTTGTAAACCAAGGAAAACAGAGGAGGTGTATACACGCCAGCCTTAGCCAGGCGAGGGCACTCTCCGGCCCAAGTCAATTCAGCAGCAAACTGCCTTCAGGCACAACCAAGATGCTGCCCTCCACTGCTAACTTGCACTTAACGTTCCTGACAAAAATTTTACTAGCCTAGTATTGGAATAGTCTTGGAATAGTCCTGATCTTAGCATTCAACAAGGGCTGAAATCTCCATCCCTACCACATCACAACATTAATGAGACCGTTTTGCAGAATGACCAAAACGTGCCTAACTCCCTTTCTCCTTTAATGCCAATGACCACTTGTGCATACTATTCAGGGACCTGAATCAATGACTCAATATATACTTAACACAAGTTGAACAAGATAAGCTTTCTCACTTAGGCATTCAGAACAGAGTCTTCAAATACTAAGCATAATTCAAAAGAAAGATTGCTATTTCAAGCCTTATTTTTTAACAAAGTAGTATTCGCTTGTCTGCTTAATTCCCTACTTTAAGTATTAACAGATCATCTATCAAATCACTATAGTTAACTCTGGGGTCATTGAGTTAGAGAATGTTTGGTCCTTAGAATATTTTTTAAATGCTAAGTTAAACCAGAAGCAGTAACATATCAAAACTTTTAAAAAAGCTTTTCTGACATTGAAAAGGATAAATTTTATACACCTAATCTATAAACATAACTCTGAATTTTAACAGAGAACTATTTCCTTAAATGAGGCTTAACAATGAGATTTTTAGCCTTTTGTTCACAGGAAAACTTAAATATACTACTACAACCCAACAGCAGTCACACCAAGAAGAAAAGGAATCTGAATGCACAAGAGAATTTCTTTTCAACCTCTCCCTCCGTAAGTAGGTTTGAACAATCATTCTAAAGAACCTCCTATTCCATTTTAGGCCGAAGTCAAGAATCTGCATCAAAGAATGACCATCTTTCCCTGTGCATTGCTACCCCCCCCACCCCCCCACACACCAAGGCTTTTGGGGTCTCAAGGTTCTTTAGATATTGACCACATCTACAAGATCCAGTAGGAAAAGCCAGGGAGCCCTGACTGTGGTACAGTAAATGGAGGGACACCCTCCTGAAAGCCATTTCATTGGAATGACTTATTTTGTTCATTAAGTCAAAGCTTACATGCAACAATGTAAGGCAACCGTTCCTGGGAGGCAGCAGAGATAAAAGGACAACTCAGAACAGGGTAAGTAAACACTCGGTCTCCTTTTTGGATGCATGAAAGAAGGAAGCAGAGCAGGTCACACTCTTACAGCAAAGCCCAGAATGAAAAACTAAAGAATTAAGATTATGTACATGCACCTATCATCTTGCTGAACACTCAACATGAATTTTCTCTTAACACTTTAAGCGCCAAGCCTATTTTATCTTCCTTTCCGTTTAGCCCACGTTACCCGATTTCACCGATATGCTGGCGGCACCAGTGACTGACCGGTCCGGCGGAAAGTATAGTGTCAGTCACCAGTGACTGACATGACAATTTAGCATGCTGCAACAAGAACAAACAGATAAAAGCATCAACACAACAGACATTCTGGCGTCTAGCCTTAGTATTTTTCTAACCAGAACATTAGGAGTCACACCTAGATGTGCTACTCCCAGCCAGATTTCCTTCAAAAAGCTAAATTGTGGAGGAAAATCAGTTTTGGAATCAGCATCTCAAAAATGAGCCATGAGTAAAAATGACTACACTCCGGAGAATGTGGCCACGGATCAAGACCTTGGAATGTGAAGTATTTCCCTCCTAGAAAGGGGAAACAGCTCTTACTAAATCATACCAAAAGCAGTAAAAAATGAGGGGGGGGGGGGTGAGAGGAAACGTTCAAATTCATGTCCACTTTTCACCATTCCGCAAAATATTAAAATAATGAAACACCATGGTCCCAGGGGAACACAGCATCTGTGCAAATCAGCTAGTTTACAGTACCCAGAGCTGACAAGGGTAGCTTTGTGGTTCTAATACTTTTGGAAAACTCTCTTAGGAGGACCTCTACTCCACTGAACCCCACCTGCTCATTCAAGCCTCTCTGAAAGGATGTGGGAAATGCCAGGCTTCTGAAATGGTGACAAGTCCTTAGTACACATCAGTGTCTGAACAAGAACCCCTCTTCCTCACTCACAAGTGGGCTATCTCTGCTATGTCAGGCCCTGTGCTTGGCATAAAAGAGGAGAAAACCCGCAAGTAATAGACTCCTGGGATTTTATGCGACCC